CACATGCTACGTGTATGAAATTCGGGATAAATAACTGTGCGATGGTCCACGTCAAAAAAACGATGCCGCGATTACATAGAGGATGTACAACTCGTAGAAGAAAGCATTTTGCACTGGATGCCGGAGAGACAAATACTTACTTGCTGTGGGGTGGAAAAACGTCACTCACAAGAAGTAACAGGAGTGAAAAACTGTCCCCATGGAAAGTGTCAGCACAAACGTCAACAGATCTGGTAATCGGAACTGTTCCTTATAATAGGTGCAGGGTGCCTCTCGAGATGCCTGAGACTCTAATGTAGCATATGCGGCGACATAACGCAGCACTGAGAGTGCTTAATTACCATCCATGGCACTTTTATGATTTTGACGAGAAACTGATGCATCCCAATCTCCAGAAATATTGAATCCATTGTGGAAAATGAGTTCTGTTCAGACTCAGCAGAATTAATCGAGACCACTCTTTTAAAATGATTATTGTTGTAGTCTTTGACAAAATAATGTCTCTCTCTCTCGAATCTCAAGAGTACACCAGCTTGCCGCAGTAGAACAAAAATCTTTGCCGGTAAATGCAGAACTGTTATCTTGAATCATTACGTCTGCTCAAGAAATATGATTCAAAGACAATAATCGCTCAACTCACAATGAGAAAAGTGATTATCGAGGCCGACGTGTCGGAGCTTTGGGGACAGGATACGACCCGATCAAGTTTTTAGGAAAAAATAAAGAATATTTATCATATGCATTACCAATTTTTTGTTTATTTCATTTATTCATTTATTTTATACATATGAATTACTCGATAGACATCATCGTCTTGTTTTACTTCAATCTACTATTTGCTGTATGTAGTATGACGTAGTTTATGTTAAAGTCGTGATTGTTTTCTAACAGATGGCGTGCTTAGTTGTGCTTGTTGTCTTTGTCGATAAGGGATTTGTTGTTTTTTATATGTCTACCTGAGTGATATCAGTCTATGTGTATTTTCTGTTTAGTTATTATAATAGAATACTAAACTTTTCTGATGCCTTTCCTATATATAATTTTTTGTCGAGGATGTGTTGACTCAAGTTGTTATTTACGGCCATCTGTTTCATTGAATTTAGTTCTTCATAAAAAATATCTGTTGACATAGGGATACTGATTAGTCTGAGGATCATGCTGTGATAAGCTGCTGGTTTATCTGGTATATTGTTGAAGATAGTTGTGTCTGTAACGCCTAAGGGTTGGTTGTTTGGTTCGTGGAGAACTGCGAAATCATGTTTGTTGTTGATTTTTGTGATTCTCATGTCTTGAACGTTTATCGAATTATTGATATCAAGTTCTATTGTGAATTTCATGATTTGATGCTATTGTGTGCACAATATTTTTCGTTAGTACATGTTCAGCTGACACGAACAAACTGGATGATTCGCCTATTCGAGAGCATGCCAAACGTGTTGTGCTTGAATCTAAGTCATAAACGGACTTCGTCTGGCCTTGAAACTAATTATGAATCATTGCAAATGCCCATCAAATTGGAAAGTGCACTCTGTAGGCATAATAGAGATTCTTGGTATTGATATATTTTTACCTCAGAACTTACTACTCAAAATGCTGGATTCGACGACGTTTTTCATTAATTTTTCATCGACTAATCGCATGCCTTTGGAGGTTTCTGGCCAGAGAAAATTTGTTAAGTCTTTCTTAGACGTTGCTCAGTAGGAGCCAAGAGCTTCCGACGCCGCTTGACTGTCCGAGAAATTGTTTATTGTCTTGTGTGTGAGGTTGGATTCTACCAATCTCTCCGCACACAATTCAATAGTATATATAGTATATTTCCGCTTGAAATACAGTCGTATAACTCCCTAGGCAGGTTGATATCTCTGTCCTGCGTCTGCAACTGGAAAACACCTGCTCCAAAGCCTGAAGGTGTTTTTGATCCATTTGTGAACCAACAACTATCTGCAGGTCATTCCTAGAATGCTGCGACTTCCAGTGTCAGCCAGCATTCTGGTGTACTCTGCATTGGATTGCTTTGTGTGATTGGCAATGTGAACAAACCTTCATGCAGTCCATCTAGCTTCTCTCCCCAGTCCTCATAGTGCGATTGAAGGGAGTTTCTATAGCTGTGTAGGGAGTGAGAAAAGGCTTATTGCGGGAGAGACCAACAAAATGACTATTAAAAAATAGAGGTTGGTGATAGAAAGAATAAAGTGAATGGTAGCATGTAGTTTCCAATAGCACATCATTAAAAAATAAAATAAAAACAAACAATTTTGTCCAAAAAATTTAAAAAAATGTGTTTGGGGTAGAACACCCTTATCAGACAGGTATGAAAATGAATTGAACCATATTCTCAGACCTACGAAATCTACATATGAATTTTCATGAGAATCGGTCAAGCGGTTTCCGACGAGTATGGCAATTAACACTGTGGCGCGAGAATTTTGAATATTAGATATACATATGAATAGTATCATTTATTCAAATCATTCGTGGATCAACTTTTATCAAAAAAAGAGAAAACGCGCAGCATTTATTGGCTTGAGCTACGAAAATTTAATGTTTTTTTTTTTAAATTATTGTTCTTCATCAAAGACATAAAACTTTCAAAATAATCCTTTTTTTATAAACCAATTTTTCCTCGCAACTGGTTCTGCTTGCAATATCCTGTTGCAATGCAGCTGGGGTTGTCTGATGAATCCTTGTAACTCAGTCGAATCAGCTCAAAAAAGGGGTCAGCAACGCGAACATTTTTACTAGCAGTTTTCTTTTGGAATTCTTTAGTGGGGTCATTGGCAGTCTAAATTTTCAATTTCACGAGATTTTCACGCAATTTTCGCTTTCATGAGATTACCTTTGACTGCTCAACTCACTTCTTACTATACTGGTAAAATAGTATTCGTTACGTGTTCAGCACACCTTTTGAACACGTAACAGCACTCCTAGATAATGACAAATGAGATTTTGTCGAAACGTCGGTGAAATTAGAGATAATATCGCATACACGGATCAAATACCCGGAAAAACCAGTTCAGCATATTCCTATCCATGAAAACTTCAGATTTAATATTCGATACCTTAACGGGGAGATGAGGTCAACTAAGAAGAAGAAGAACTCAGGTAAAACTCAACAACATTTAAGTAGTAGGTAGTAGAGTATATATAGTGAAATAATGGTTATAATATCCAAATCGGTAAACAGTTCCCTACATGAATCATTATATTTTTTGAAACACATTGTTCTCACTACCTTTTTTTGAGCTATTAGTAATTCGTTTATTCTTGTACAGTTACAAAAGTTGATCAGACAATAACTGAGGGAAGATTGGATATAAGCATAGTGATAGCTCTTCAGTACATTCAATGAAACAAAATGACGGAGATTACGAATTACACAACAATGTTTCGACAGTTTACTCAAAATATAATCAATATGCTTTTTCCAAGAGAGTTGAGCATCATTGCTCAAACCTGAAAATTTTACAGATGAAGTTTGTTGTATTAACTTAAATTCAGACTGCCAGTGAACACCCAAAGAATTCCGAGAGGAAATTGTCAGTAAACATTTTTGCATGGTCAAATCCTAGTTCAACTGGGGTATTGGGATCATCCAGAGAACAACTCAAATAATTTCACATCTTTGCTGTTAGTAATGTATGTCTAATCCATTTTCATCAAAATATTGCAGCAGATGTACGGGTGCATGTATGGCATAAATGTAAAATTCATCGGGGAATATTGAATTTGTTGTGGAAAACGCTGGCTTCACTGGCTCCATTCATTCTGTACACCTGGCGAGCTTGTATAAATTTGTGTTGTCTCTGGAGAGAGATTATGAGATATATCTAATGGAATTCAGCAGTTTTCAGAGGAGCATAAATGAAAGTCACCAGATTGTGTTTGGTTTCAAAAAAATTTTTTTTTTCTCGTGGTAAGATATTTTCAGAATGTTCATTTCTTGTAAGCTCAGTCTGAAACTACTAGACTATTCAAATAATTCATTTCCATAAAAAGGAGATATGTTTTCAATAAAAGTGATTTTGGGTTCCAAGTGAATGAATACCTGACTATCTTTGAAAATTTGTATTTTAAAACTAATTCAACAAACTTTTTCCATCAATTATTTCATTTATGATAACTTCATGAAGACTTACCAAAGGTGCTAACATTTGAGGCATTTTTTTTAATGTAAATGCTGGGCTTTGGATTCGTAATTTCTGAGATTTTACTTCTCCCTTTCCATAATTGTTGAGTGTTATTTTAATATGTGTAAATCGCAAAAAGGTTGAATTTCAATCTCTGGCGAGCAACAAATCTGATTGAAACACTTTTTTCACACACCACAAATGACAAACGATTCATCACCCAAATTGTGATTGGTATCTAGTACACTTAGTTATGCCTGAACATTTAAATCTTGAAATACATGTTTTTCAATTCGTTTATTATCGGCCAAATCTATCAAAAATGATATCTCAATCAACAAACAATTTTTTGAGTGGATAATATTTACTTCATACGATTCAAGTTATTGTTTATTACATATTGTCGCAATGATATTTCATTCAAAGTCATAAAAATATCATTGGGAAAGAAATATTTCAGGCTTCTATATCCATATAAAAATGTAGAAGACTTCCAAAGAAAGAAATAAAGCAAATAATTTCAGAATAAACACAAAAAAATGTAGATCATGCATTGAAATTACTTTCTGATAGAAACCAAAAGTAAAAAGCACTTTGGAAACAACTGCTTACATTTATTTTCAGAAGAGATTCATTTTTTGGGAAAGAAAGGCTTAGACTTTTTATTTCTTTATCATCATATAAGAAATGTGGGAAACGTCTTTCAACAATTCCGTAATAATAACTTCAACTACAAATAATAGCACTGAGTATCACAAAAATATATCACTAGTATATGTCCTGGATATGTTCAAAATCACGTTCTCCAGATGTGAGTATCTATTTCACGTTTCCTTTGGTGATTGGATCGCGTTATAAATGAAAAAGACTTACCTCATAGGGTTCACCAATATGAGGCCCTGCTTGGGCAATGTATAGTGTCGAAGCAGAGTCAAAAACTAATTCTATAGGATTTCTCTGGACTACAACTGAATCAGTTTCGTTACAGTTGAAAAATAAAGTTACATTTTGCAAACTAACTCGGAAAGCAAATCTCATCCATTTGTTCTGGAATGTTGGTACCGTGAAGTTCGCTATGCTCTGAGACTTCACGAACTGAAAGGAATCGGTGTAGAAGAGAGTTAACACTGTCGTAGCTGTCCCTTCTTGACCTATCTTGACACCAAGCTCCACAACCTGAAATGAAAAAGATTGATCAATTTGAAGGTTCTATCATCGAGGGTTATTAGTGAAACAATATTTAACATGGTTATATCAACACAGAGTAAATTCATTAACTGAAACTCGAATTTTTCATAGGAAACAGCAGCAGCAACAGCAGCAGCATTTTCAGATTGTTTGACATATTATGTTCCACTTCTTGTCTGTATATGATGAACAATCAAATAAAAATATAAAAATGTTGAACGGTTTACGGTGTTCCACACATATATAACATACTACTCCGCACGGTTGCAATGCTGATATTGAATATAGATTTACTCTCCGAAAATTCAAGTGCATGGAGAAACAGTGATGAAAAGATAAGTTGGTTTTACGTACGCGCCTTTTTCAATCGCGGCTGGAGCTCCAATTGGAATATATCAAAAACCTTATTGCAATATGAAATGGACCTACATACAAAATTTCAGCGTCCGAAAATATATCAGTATGGGGAAACAGTGATGAAATTGTAACTTCATTTCTTGAACGTATATACTTTTTCCTCCGCGGCTCTCCATCTGGGTGGAATATTTAAACAAAAATTTTATTGCACATCTACAGTATAATGGTTAAACAATGAGCTGATATAATAATTTCTGAATCATTATATTGTCGCCATCTACTGAGTGTAGTTCGAACATATGTTTCTTAGTTTAGTTTTGTTTCGAACAGTTGGCAAAAATGTATGGTTGGCACTAATAGTTGTATGAAAAAAATAAAACAAGATTGTTTGTTGATGGTTGCTTCAGAGTATTTTTTTCATCCAAAATAGTAAAACAGAATAGAAGTAAAATAGTAAAATCTATCAGGTTATGGGCCCAGATGCTCCAGAAGTGAAACGTGAAAGCGATTTGAAAAACTAAAACTTAAAAAGATGAAAAAAGTAAGAACCATAATATCGGAAAATGGCCGCCAACAACACGACAATGGAAGAATTTTCATCGATTGAAAAAGTGAGTGATGGTGAATCATTTCAATTATGGAAATTCCAAACTACAGTAATCTTCAAGTCACAAGGCATTTGGGAAATAGTTAATTTATGTGAATCGAGTAACTGAATCGTTTCACACAAGTGGTCTATTGTTAATTTGAGCTCACAGATGCCATATATTTGAGAAACTTCATTTGTGAAAATGAATAGTACACTTTTCATAAATTTTATATGTATTTTGCAACAATTTGCCATCGATATTTTGCAAGATCCTCAAACAAAAAGTTGTGATACGTTTTTGGTAAATTCTTAGGAATTCTATGAATAGTCCATTTTGTAATTTTCATGTAATGTCCTCAATCATGTGTGATATATAAAATAATGACAAAATTTGACTCGAATAAAATAATCCCAGTTGAAAGAATAGAAATCATACTTATTTTCTTCTGGATTTTTCAGAATTGATCCTGAAACCAGTGAAATTGTTTCAGTCCATGATATCGAGAAACATCAAGAATAAATATGATTTTCACTGATAAAATATATAATTCATTGACCTCCATTGATCTCCAATTAAGGATGATTAGGGCTAACCACACCACGTTACTCACCGTGTCATAAGGGTTGACGACGGCAAAGATAAATCCCCCACGTCTGCTTTTTGGCTTGGCGCTTATTAAAATTGAAAATTCAGGACTCAGCTTCTCGGGTAATATCTGGCGGTGAGCGATTTTCACGTCTGATCCGATTTTGAATCCGTAGGCAGGAAAGCCATCGTGACCGTCGCCATCAATGTACATCTTAGAGTCGTGAAAAGGTATTCCCACTGCAGCGGACGCTCCTAGAAGGTCGTACTCGGCAACTAGAACAAAAAACTCTTTTCAGTATTTCATTGAAACTAGTATATTTCTATCAAATATATGAAAGAATCTACCGATGCTTGATGGAAATCTATAACATATTCAAAAATACTTTATTTTGAGATTTTCACTAAAAAAGTTTACAAAAACGCCACACATATTTCGCCATCAATAGGAAATATTTTGTGAACTGGTTCCATCATGAATACCTACCCTCTTTTTATTGTATATCAATGAGTTATTGGAGAAAACCAAGAATCCAATATATTGCTTTGCTGACGAAAATTAACTTGTATTGTCATTCCATTCGGAATCCAGTTCATCGGCAGCAGGAGGTTGCATATCTTAATGAGGATGTAGAAGTGATTTCGAATTGGGGTGAATTGGGGTTCAATGCCACAAAAACCCAGGAATCGGCTTTCTACAAGGAGATAATTGTTTCCGAACTGAATATAATAATGTCAGGACAGACAATTGCACTTTTTGTTTCGATAAGTTTGTTGGGGGTTAAAATGGACACCAATATGTCTTGGCACAATCATGTCGCTGGAATTGCAAATACTGTTTCTCAAAAGCTTGGAACACTGTTCCGTACCAGAAAACTGTACACACCTCAGCAACTTTTGATGCTTTATAAAGCTCGGATCAGATCTTGTTTGGAGTATTGTTCCCATGTATGGAGCTCTGCTCCCAAACATACCCTGAAGATGCTGGATTCTATCCAGAAAAAAACCATCCGCCTTATTGGAGACGCGAACATCACGTGCAACCTCGATAACCTGGAAAATCGAAAAAAGGTTGGAGATTTGTCTCTCTTATATAGATACTTTCACGGAAAGTGTTCAATTGATCAGCACATTTGATTCTACCAAGAGCGGTACATATCAGAAATACGCAACGGACTGTGGCTGCTCATCGTTTTGAGGTTCAACTCAGTACACCTCGAACTCCAGTGGTCAAAAACTCTTTCATCTGGAGAACTGCGCTTCCTCAGAACGTTTTTCCGAATGGATTTGATCTTCAGCAATTATTCAAATCCAATGTGAATCGCTACTTTCGCACAGGCACCGCAATGTAGTGCTTGTGTTTTGTCCTTAGAAAAATGAATACAAACTTTCATATTTGACTTTGTGACGTACTGAAAATATGGTGCGTAGTTTGAATGTTGCGAAAATATAGCGAGATTTACGTCTTTTGAGAATTGGAAATGGAACATATATATTGATTTGTGAACGTAAAGATCATATACGATTTTACATGGGCAGTTATGAAGTTATATATAGGGTATAGAGGTTGATCTAAAAATCATGATAAATATTGGGTCGATATGTAAAAAGTTATATTCAGAGTAGAGTTGTTTGTTTAGTAACTGCATCATTTGAAAAGGGAAAGTGGGGTGGGTTGGGCAAAATCAATCTGTCGTTATCCAAACAGCTACTCATTTTTTACCGTGATATGGAAAGGCTTTGCTCGTCAAGACTNCCTCCAATACAATAGAGATATAAAATACTGCAACCTTCTTTTACTCTCCAGAAATACACTTGATTAGATTTATTTTTCAAGGTTGTGTAGAAATTTCATGCCAAACTTCAGTTGAACTATCAGCTGTTCCAATCACAAATTTCAAATCAATCAGAAACCAATATTTACCAGACATGCGCGTTGACAACGATTCACAAACAGTTGGAAATCTGTTTGTGACTCAAGGTTGGAACGAACCTATTGTCGCCATCTACTGAGTGTAGTTGGAACATAATGTTTCTTAGTTTCGTTTTGTGTTGAACAGTTGGCAAAAATGTATGGTTGGCACTAGAAGTTGTATGAAAAAAATAAAACAAGGTTGTTGATGGTTGCTTCAGAGTATTGTTTTTATCCAAAATAGTAAATCAGAATAGAAGTAAAATAGTAAAATCTATCACATGAAACGAACCTACATAAGAAATTTCCTCGCGGCTGGCACCCCAGTTGAAATATTAAAAAAATCTTTTTTTATTGCTCATCTACAATATAAAATGAATCTAAATACAAAATTTCTGCTACCGAAAATGGAGGGGTACGGAGAAACAATGATGAAACGGTAATTTTTATATCTAAGCACGCCCTTTTCATCCCCAGGGGGGTCTCCAGTTGGAATATTTTGAAATACTCTCTCAGTAGTATTTTTTGCTAAGCCATCAGTATAGAGTGTTGCTTCAACTATGAATTGGAATTCTCACGTCACATTTATGGCGTTTATGTAGTTCTTTGAATTGTGAGAGATCCATTTTTTTATCATTATATTTCATTATATCATTCATAACTCCCTAGTTATTCATTTTACTATACAAATACGAACACCTCGGTTATGTGGAGAATGTAGCTACACACATTTGAAATGTTGTTATTGAGTATTAACTTTTCAGAGAGTCATTAAGTTATCTATAGTATAAAGATGTTCCGTCATACACACTACTCAGTACTAACTAACATTGTTTCTCTGAAAATCAATCGAGTATTTCGTTAATATTTCTTTCCATACCTATCCCTACTAATCCCTACTAATATTATAAATGCGAATGTGAGTTTGTTTGTTACGGTTTCACGCGAAAACTACNTATTTTCTGTTTAGTTATTATAATAGAATACTAAACTTTTCTGATGCCTTTCCTATATATAATTTTTTGTCGAGGATGTGTTGACTCAAGTTGTTATTTACGGCCATCTGTTTCATTGAATTTAGTTCTTCATAAAAAATATCTGTTGACATAGGGATACTGATTAGTCTGAGGATCATGCTGTGATAAGCTGCTGGTTTATCTGGTATATTGTTGTAGATAGTTGTGTCTGTAACGCCTAAGGGTTGGTTGTTTGGTTCGTGGAGAACTGCGAAATCATGTTTGTTGTTGATTTTTGTGATTCTCATGTCTTGAACGTTTATCGAATTATTGATATCAAGTTCTATTGTGAATTTCATGATTTGATGCTATTGTGTGCACAATATTTTTCGTTAGTACATGTTCAGCTAACACGAACAAACTGGATGATTCGCCTATTCGAGAGCATGCCAAACGTGTTGTGCTTGAATCTAAGTCATAAACGGACTTCGTTTGGCCTTGAAACTAATTATGAGTCATTGCAAATGCCCATCAAATTGGAAAGTGCACTCGTTGAAAATGAATCAGCACATCTGTAGGTATAATAGAGATTCTTGCTATTGATATATTTTTACCTCAGAACTTACTACTCAAAATGCTGGATTCGACGACGTTTTTCATTAATTTTTCATAGTATATTTCCGCTTGAAAGACAGTTGTATAACTCCCTAGGCAGGTTGATATCTCTCTCCTGGGTCTGCAACTGGAAAACACCTGCTCCAAAGCCTGAAGGTGTTTTCGATCCATTTGTGAACCAACAACTATCTGCTCTTAACATTTCCTTCTTACGAAGGATCCAATCCTCTCTACTCGGAAACAGTACTGTATAAGACAGTTCATAGTTGACAGTTGGAGGCATACTGTCAGAGGTCATTCCTAGAACGCTGCGACTTCCAGTGTCAGCCAGCAGTCTGGTGTACTCTGCATTAGATTACTTTGTGTAATTGGTAATGTGAACAAACCTTTATGCAGTCCATCTAGCTTCTCTCTCCAGTCCTCATAGTTCGATTGAAGGGAGTTTCTATAGCTGTGTAGGGAGTGAGGAAAGGCTTATTGCGTGAGAGACCAACAAAATAACTATTAAAAAATAGAGGTTGGTGATAGAAAGAATAAAGTGAATGGTTGTATGTAGTTTCCAATAGCACAACATTAAAAAATAAAATGAAAACAAAAAATTTTGTCCAAAAAATTTAAAAAATGTGTTTGTGGTAGAACACCCTTATCAGTCAGGTATGAAAATGAACTAAACTATATTCTCAGACCTACCAAATGTACATATGAATTTTCATGAAAATCGGTCAAGCGGTTTCCGACGAGTATGGCAATTAACACTGTGACGCGAGGATTTTAAATATTAGATATATGAAGAGTATCATTTATTCAAATCATTCTTGGATCAACTTTTATCAAAAAAAGAGAAAACGCGCAGCATTTATTGGTTTGAGCTACGAAAATTTAATGTTTTTTTTTAAATATTATTGTTCTTTATCAAAGATATAAAACTTTCAAAATATTTTTTTTTTATAAAACCACTTTTTCCTCGCAACTGGTTCTGCTGGCAATATCCTGTTGCAATGCAGCTGGGGTTGTCTGATGAATCCTTGTAGCTCAGTCGAATCAGCTCAAAAAAGGGGTCAGCTACGCGAACATTTTTACTAGCAGTTTTCTTTTGGAATTCTTTAGTGGGGTCACTGGCAGTCTAAATTTTCAATTCCACGAGATTTTCACGCAGTTTTCGCTTCCACGAGATTACCTACAAAAATGTACTGAAAACAAAATAACTTTCGATTTCAAAAGTGATGCTTCGAGAAGCTGATTTTTCACATCCCTCTTTTCAAATAAAATCAGTTTTTTTCCTGAGACTCTACAGCATGGAAAAATGTTCAACCTATAGTGAATAGGTATTTCCAGCCACAGATATTAGTACGGATGCTAATAGTTTCGTATCCCAACCACAGATTTTTATTTCCTCTACGTCAACTTGTGTGGCCAGAAATCTGTGGATAACTTCACGCCAATGTTATTTTATAAAAACAAGCCTATGGGTTCCCGTTTTTGGAAAGTGAAATGATAATTGAATTGTTTCTATGAAGAGTGCCGTAGATCGAGGGTTTTTAATAAAATATTTTGAATGAGAAGGGGTCCAAGTATTTACATCAGGGATATTCTATGTATTTTGGTTCAAAATATGATAGTGCATTGGCCTTGGTTTTGGATGAAAGGGATTGCCTCAATTTTGATTGCCTTTCTAAATTCTTTATTTGTGTTGTTGAATTAGTAAGGTTTATGTCTGTTGAAGTTGATGTAAGGGCGTACCTTGAATTGTTGTTTCTAAAGGTTGGATACTGTTTGTTTGTATCGGAGTGAAAGTTCGATATTCCCCTATTTGTATCCAACGTTTTTTCGTTGCGATAAGCGATATTTTATGTGCCTCGGTTTTTCAGATTGGCGGGTGGTTCTCATTATACAGGGTTACAATTTGAAAACTTCCCACCCTCAATATCTTCCTTCCAGTGAACAATATAAGGAATCGAAAAAACAGATCAATTTTATTGTCAAGAGGGACACTTTCAAAGACTATTTGTAGCTCTTGAGGTTCAGTCCCCTAGAAAGGGTAGATGTTACCCTTAGAATGTTAAATGGAAAGGGGGGGTCAATTTGCACATCGTTTTGATTGGCTTCCAAATCTGCTTCCAATGGTACCCCAACCTATTATTTTTTTATGAGCATTTTCCTTTAAATACCGTACTAAACTTACACATGTAATTGGAATTTGCCTGTGCTGGGATGCATTATCGTTTTGACTCCTTTTAATTAAAATAGTAAGATGAGTAGGTGGCACTGTTCCAACTCTTGAAATGTGGTCCATTTTACTCCAAACAGTAATGAAGTCTGTTTTCAAACTCTTCCCTAACATTACAGAAAATTTCACTGGGAATTAACTGGCATGCTGCTGTAATTCGTCTTTGAAGTTCTTCAATATCAGAAGGTTTTGTTTCATAAACAACGGATTTGAGATACCCCTAAAGAAAGGAATCTGAGGATGTTGAATCTGGTGATCTCGGAGGCCATTCAACTGCTTCCCTTCTGCAAATCCTTTTATTCGGAAATCTTTCGTCTAACCACTGTCGGACGGAAAGAGTATAATGAGGTGGAGCACCGTCCTATTGTTTGGTGCAAAAGTTCATTAACTTCTGCACCCATTTGAGTTTCTATATCGTGAGTTATGAAAGGATCGACAGTCTCTTCGAACACTTCAAGGTACAGATTAGCTCAATTCCAGAAATAATGAACCAATAATGACATTTCTAAGAATACCAGCCCAAACATAAACTTTTTGTGGAAATTGGGTATGCCCATTCCAAAAAATGTGTAGGTATTAACATTGCCATTCAGAAAAAATGAATACTCATCGCTGAAACAGATATTTTACAGAAGATTAAATATGGTATTGACTCGATGAGATGTGATTTCACAGAATTCTATTTTTCTATTATAATCATCTGCATGAGGATGAAATTTATGCACTTTCAATGCTTTTCTTACAGTCCTGCGTCTGTTCTGATACAAATCGTAAGGACATCGTAGGCTTCGCAGCAATTGTTTAAGACAAAAAACAAGCACTGCAATATTATCCCCAAGGCACTTTCAGAGCGGTGCCTGTGCGAAAGTAGAGGTCCACATTGGATTTGAACCACTGAAGATAAAATTCATTTGGAAAAATGTTCTCAGGAAGTTCATTCCATATATGACGCAGTTTTCTAGATGAAAGAGTTCTTCCCAAAACTTCAGTTTGAGCTGCTTCATTCAGTACTCTGGGGTTATTTCAATTCTGTCTTGAAGAATGTGAGCCATTTTCACACTTCCTTACACTCATTGACGTAATCACTGACTACCCAATAGGTACAACTGTATGCACAATAAGAGTACATCGTTCATATTCGCGAACCAATTTTTTGCCTGAAAACAATAACTTTTCACAGCAGAAGAAGCAGATAAGGACGGCTATCCGTACACTTTCTGCGATGAGAATTAAAAATTCAGCTTCACGACTTCACTACCATCTACGTTTTACTATTAGAACACTTGAAATGATAGGAATTAATTGGAGCTAAAGGCTAATGTTACCCCCAATGAAGGAAGGGTTGGAACGGTACCACCTAATATTCTTACTAGTTCTGGTCAAACCATGCTTATGCATCTCAGTATAGATGTAATAATAATCACTTGTTTCAGTTCAGAACTTTATTTTTCGGAAAATGCTCATCAAACAATGATAAGTCAGGGTACCATTGGAAGCAGAAGGCCAATCAAAATGATGTGCCACTTGATCCCCCATCCCATTTGAAATTCTAATGGTAACATCTACCCCTCCTAAGAGGTTGAACCACAAGGACTACAAATAGTCCATGAAAGTGTTCCCCCATGACTATAACATTTTCTCGATTCCTCATATTGTTTACTGGAAAGAAGATATTAAGGGTGGAAAGTTTTCCAATTGACACCCTGTATATGTTGTTTCTATATTATTCGATTGTTTTGTGTTTGTCTATTCAGTATTTTCCTTCTTTCTTCTGTGTGTTGCTTTATAAATTATGTGATGTTAATAATTCATTCTGCTGAAAAGATTTCTACATCTCATTCAATTCTTGCTTCTTGGTATTCTAGTCTGTTCTGTGTACAGATCAATATTTATCAGACTCATTCAAATATTATCGAACTTTTGCGATTTTGTAAGTAGATTCATAATAAATATTGAAAACTTCATAAACATTCAATGCATTACTGATTGATATGAATAATGGTTCACTATTTTTGTCATAAAATACATTTGGTTTATTAAAAAAATTGTGAAGTACCTACGTATTTCATATCAAATGCTCTCTTTAATACTTCAAACTCAAAAGTTGCACAATAACTAATTTGCGTGTGGTATTGAAGTTTGATTATGAATTGTAAAAGTTGCCGCTCAAATTTACATCGTTTAAACAAGTTTTCAGACATATTGTGTTGCTATTGGATGAAATGATTGGCATTGGAAAATAGTATTCCTTTCACGAGAATGAGATGATCGAAGCGGCTTCATATGAACTGCGACCTTAACTCGGGTTCCACTGATTAGTAAACGTGTGACATGCTTTTGAGTGGTATCCGAAATTTTATCTTGTCTCTTACCGGTATTTTTTATTTTTCCGAAATACCGAATTTACGTAGCCGCATTTTGATCTTTGTGTGTGAATTTTGCTATGTGTGATACGTACCGTATATGTGAATCGAGTAACTGAATCGTTTCACACAAGTGGTCTATTGTTAATTTGAGCTCACAGACGCCATACATTTGAAAAACTTCATTTGTGAAAATTCTATATGTATTTTGCAACAATTTGCCATCGATATTTTGCAAGATCCTCAAACAAAAAGTTGTGATACGTTTTTGGTAAATTCTTAGGAATTCTATGAATAGTCCATTTTGTAATTTTCATGTAATGTCCTCAATCATGTGTGATATATAAAATAATGACAAAATTTGACTCGAATAAAATAATCCCAGTTGAAAGAATAGAAATCATACTTATTTTCTTCTGGATTTTTCAGAATTGATCCTGAAACCAGTGAAATTGTTTCAGTCCATGATATCGAGAAACATCAAGAATAAATATGATTTTCACTGATAAAATATATAATTCATTGACCTCCATTGATCTCCAATTAAGGATGATTAGGGCTAACCACACCACGTTACTCACCGTGTCATAAGGGTTGACGACGGCAAAGATAAATCCCCCACGTCTGCTTTTTGGCTTGGCGCTTATTAAAATTGAAAATTCAGGACTCAGCTTCTCGGGTAATATCTGGCGGTGAGCGATTTTCACGTCTGATCCGATTTTGAATCCGTAGGCAGGAAAGCCATCGTGACCGTCGCCATCAATGTACATCTTAGAGTCGTGAAAAGGTATTCCCACTGCAGCGGACGCTCCTAGAAGGTCGTACTCGGCAACTAGAACAAAAAACTCTTTTCAGTATTTCATTGAAACTAGTATATTTCTATCAAATATATGAAAGAATCTACCGATGCTTGATGGAAATCTATAACATATTCAAAAATACTTTATTTTGAGATTTTCACTAAAAATATCAACGAGTTATTGGAGAAAATCAAGAATCCAATATATTGCTTTGCTGACGAAAATTAACTTGTATTGTCATTCCATTTGGAATCCAGGACATCGGCAGCAGGAGGTTGCATATCTCAATGAGGATGTAGAAGTGATTTCGAATTGGGGTGAAAGTAACCAGGTTCAGTTCAATGCCACAAAAACCCAGGAATCGGCTTTCTACAAGGAGATAAGTGTTTCCGAACTGGATAAAATAATGTCAGGACAGACATTTGCGCTTTTTGTTTCGATAAGTTTGTTGGGGGTTGAAGTGGACACCAATATGTTTTGGCACAATCATGTCGCTGGAATTGCAAATACTGTTTCTCAAAAGCTTGGAACACAGTTCCGAACCAGAAAACTGTACACACCTCAGCAACTTTTGATGCTTTATAAAGCTCAGATCAGATCTTGTTTGGAGTATTGTTCCCATGTATGGAGCTCTGCTCCCAAACATACCCTGAAGTTGCTGGATTATATCCAGAAAAAAACCATTCGCCCGATTGGAGACGCGAACATCACATTCAACCTCGATAACCTGGAAAATCGATTTAATTCTACCAAGAGGGGTACGTATCAAAAATACGCAACGGACTGTAGCTGCTCATCGTTTAGAGGTTCAACTCAGTACACCTCAAACTTCAGTGGTCAAAAACCCTTTCATCTGGAGAACTGCGCTCACATGGAATAAACTTCCTCAGAACGTTTTCCCGAATGGATTCAATCTCCAGCAATTATTCAAATCCAATGTGAATTGCTACTTTCGCACAGGCACCGCTATGAGAGCGCCTGAAGGATTTTCCTGTAGTGCTTGTGTTTTGTCCTCAAAAAAATTAATACAACATGAAAGCTTTCATATTTGACTTTGTGACGTACTGAAAAGATGGTGCGTAGTTTGAATGATGCGAGATTCACGTCTTTTGAGAATTGGAAATGGAACATATATATTGATTTGTGAACGTAAAGATCATATACGATTTTACATGGGCAGTTATGAAGTTATATATAGGGTATAGAGGTTGATCTAAAAATCATGATAAATATTGGGTCGATATGTAAAAAGGTATATTTAGAGTAGAGTTGTTTGTTTAGTAACTGCATCATTTGAAAAGGGAAAGTGGGGTGGGTTGGGCAAAATCAATCTGTCGTTATCCAAACAGCTACTCATTTTTTACCGTGATATGGAAAGGCTTTGCTCGTCAAGACTGACCCTTCAGGATGTGGGGGTTTTTGTTGTCACTCACTGCGTATATTTTTGTTTCAAGGTGCTCATTGTTTCACCCTGTATATTGCTCCTGTTTAGGAACTGCAGAAGGTAGTAATATATTAACCAACTAGATTTCATAAACCACCAAATCTGATAAAAACGTATCAACCTACCTCCCATGTACACATGTACAGTATCCACGCCCAAGTAAATAATTATAATAAATAATCGTTCAACGTTCATTTCGAAAACCGTATATTGGTATATTGTCAAGGAGCACCTATACACTTGCAAATGATATTCGTTGTTGACAAATTTACCTGTCCGCATTCCATCTCTCTTTTCTTCTAATAAACTGTAAGACTTCATATAGTTCCGATAGTATATAGTGTGTGAACTCTATGGAGATCCCTCAAATTTGACAGAATTTGATGTTAAAAATATTGTCTTTCGGAGAATCTAGTTGTCGATTCATTTGCAGAAGAAAACCATCTTGATACCAGAGGTGAGTCCACTACTCCATTGTGTTTTTATTATTACAAGAATGTACTCGAATAATCTTATAGGAAAAATTCATGAATTTTGCCTTGCGTACACACTTTTTCTTATGTATGTATATATACTTTTATGAGCAAATTATTCTTCAAGTAGGCTTGAGAAGGTTCAATATATATGATCGTATGCTTTGTTACAATTGCATAATAGTACCGTATGACTTTATCTCATTAAATATTATGAAATTGGGTATGTCTTTCTTTTATTTCAACTGTTATATCTACATTATAAAAAACCAGGCGCCCTTATTGTATCCTTATTTTATTTAACAGAATCACAGTAGCCGGAGCTACTTTGCCATGTTTTCTCTTTTGTAAAAAGCCAAAACCGGGAAAAGAATTAACAAGCGTGACGAGGCAATACTTTCAGTGACCACCATCATATAAGCAGTTGAGTGTTTTTGTGGCCGGCAAACACTCTTCAACAAGAGTTAAGGAAAAATGTTCAAATATTCACATTTTATTACCGAAGTAGCCTTCAACAGTGTCATCAGTACAGAACTCGGATTTTGTGATCACAACTAGGCATCTCCTAGCCTTTAATGAAACTTTTCTATAAAATTCAATTTTATTGTTGATAAATTCAAAATAAACTTCAGCTATTCGTCATATGCCGCTTCGTTCCTTTTTTTTATATTTTTGAGAATTCATCTCCCAAAGTATAGATCCTGTCATGGAATCAGGACAAAACTAGTTCCGTTTGAAACGCTTGGACTGAAGGGACAAAGCGTTAGCTGTTTCTTCACCACTAACGCCCAACGCGCTTATAAACAGTGGCATCCCGTCGAATTCAAATCATTTCAATTATTCTTATATATAGGTAACTGCGGAAGCGTAAGTAACGAGCAGTATTATATACATATTTCATAACGAAAAAAATCAGAATCATAAAATTTTTCATTCTGGAAATTATAAGAAATCATGTTTTTATTATAATGAAGAATCTTGTGAAAATATAAGTTATTTGATAAGGAAAAATTTCGTTGTATGTAATTCGCGCTTCTTCGTGGGATGTTGCTCCGGTCGTCTCGCTAAATTATATCTCTACCAACAGAAATGAAGTGCACTTAATTTTATTAAATGTGTTGTTTTGAAATCAATTAATCTTGTTGAAACTTGAGACTTCAAGCAGTTGATAATTTTTGTGCAATTAATAGGGTAATCAGAATTGAGATATATCAATTGGGCAGATTTGTTTATAGTTTGTGAAATTGGGTTAAGTAGGTAGTGCCTTCTCGAACCTTAAAAAATATAGTTTAATGCAGATATGAATTCCTTGTTAACAACCAATCATAGAGTTTTGGTACTAGTAAGAAGATAAAATAACTGATCCTTTGTAGTGAATCAGAATGCAAAAAATTCATAATGAATTCAATACAAGTAGGTGAAATTCTAATCACGTCCAATAAACTGATAGATACCTTAACGATCACTCCTATTGAGTTTATTTCCCTAACCCTACATCTACACAAAACTCAGACCTGGTAATTTCCTCGAAAATTTTGCCATATAAATACACTAATGAATCTAGTCAATCAACACAGTCAGATATGAATTGCAGTTGAGTAATCAGGGTACTTGCCAGAACTTGATAGTAATCCAAATAATCCTAATAGATTTTCACCAATTGACGACTCAATTATTTCATTCCAAGTGTTCTCGATAATATCAATGTAGAATTTTCAACATATTTCGAACTGATTAAACGAGTACAGTAGTGAAGGTGGAACCATCTCCCAGTACGAAGACGAGATCAATGGGATCGACAGAAGACTGAATTCCTGAATATCAGGAGTGAGCGAAGCTTCCCAAGGCAGTCAAGGTCAGAGATCGATATCGAAGCTTGGCAACTGATTGCCTTGGAAAGCCTCGTTTATCTTCGATATTCGAGAATTGAGTGTTCTGCCGATCCCATAGATAGCATTTCTATGAGGGGGAGATATCATCGCCATTACTTTCAGGCTCATCGTTTCTGGGATAGTTCAGTGGTTCAGCCTAGCACCACTGCGGCTTAATGGGTCCGAACAGCGTTGTCTGGTGTTGAATCACAAGTACATCTAACTGCCTTGCATTGAAAGCTGCAGTGAAAGATGGAAGACAAATCTCTATTGGCAATTGATGTCAACGATTGACTTTGCAACTGATAGCCTTGTGGAGCCGCGTTATTTTTTGATATTTAAAAATTGAGTATTTTGTCGATTCCAAAGGTGAAATCTCCGTAAGTGGAGATGTCATTACCCTTGCTTTCAGGCTTGTTTTTTCTGTGTCAGTTCAGTGGTTCAGCCTAACACTACTGATTCAAACTGGTGGGTCGAAGAAACAGAACATGCTGCATTACATGCAGTTGAAGCTGCAGTGAAGGACAGAGGACGAATCTCTTCCGGCAATCGATGTCCTAGCTTGACTTGGCAACTGATCGTCTTGAGTAGCTTCGTTTATTTCTTAGATTCGAGGATAGAGATTTTGTCGATCCCAGTTCATTATTACATCTAGCTGCCTTGCAGTGAAAGACAGATGATGAATCTCTTTCAACGATTGATGTCGGAACTTTGGCTTTGCAACTGATCGCCCTCAGGATCGCCTCGTCACAAAATTGACATTCTGATATTGAGGATTATCTCTACGCTGTGGTCTATCCATATGAATATATAATATGAAATCAAGAAAGGTTAATGCAGTCGAGCTGCATGACAATCAAAAAAAATAGATAAGCACCATTCTGATCATTTCCATATTGATTTCAATTTATGAGCCACCGGTAGACAGCTGTTTCAGCCTATTGGGCATCGTCAGTACCGGGCAGGCGGTCTTCGATTGAAGACTGCATTAACCATTCTTGATTTTATATCATGTCTAGAAACATGTGGATTCGTTTTCCGATGGCATTTCAGGTTAGCTTCCCGAATTTTTGCTACCGCAGTTGTCGGTTGATTGGCCAAACGATAACTAACACTAACATAAAAAACTTGGGTGTCACAACAATAGGTGATTCCACTTATGTTCCAATTATCTGCTTTCACGAAATATGGATATTTTTTTTCATTTTTTAGATATTTGCCCGCGAAGTTTCATATGGGACACC